TACCGTAAGTCTAATACAGTACTGTAATTTTATACATTTCTTGTGAAAGAAACATTTCTTATTCAACGGCGATTAAAATTATTTATATTAATGATGTCTCCAAAGTTCAACGAAGTTATCGCAGAAAAATAAGTTATTAGAAATCGGCGGCCGTATCGTGTGCTGTTCCGCGACAAAAACAAGCTTTAGCAATGGCGGTGCACACTCGGTAAGTAACCCTACAATTTTTTGTTTATAGCGTAGTTTATATGGATTATTTCCAAAAAATATATACGTATTTTGGAAATGTTGAGTCGGATTAGTCTAGAATCGATTAATTTTATGGAAGAAAACCTTTCAATCAGCCGTAGTCCGTAAAGTTTACATGTGTCGGGCTGTGATTGGAACGACTCGTAAGAAATCAGATTCCTAAAAAATGGAACGTATCTAGGTTTTATAGGGGGGTCGACTGTATGCTATCCCCTGTATATCATACTTTTCCTTTAACAATAGAGTCGTGCTGCTCATCTATTAACTGCTTTCAGGGAAAACTTTTGAATTGAAATAATGTGACTTCTGGTGTAAACTGGAAGTTCATATATAGTCAATTGGGGCCTCCTGCCCTAAGGTTTCCATATCTGGTTTCGGATTTCATGTATCTAATTCCATTCTAGATATTAAGGAAAAACAGATGGACAGATGACAGTGGGAATTTATAGGTCTACAATTTTTTCAAATTGCAACCAATAATAATACAGAAGAATGAAAGAATTATTATTTTGTCAAGCCAGATTTTTATCATATAAAAGTTTAAGATAACTGTCTTTCAGCATTAATAAATGCTGACAGACAGTTATCTTAAACTTGTATCTAATATAGGAGAACAAAATCAAATAATAAATCCAATTTAAAAATAATAAAGTTCCAGCTTTTAAAAAACCTACAAATACAGCATTAAAAAAACAAAAACAAAAATATAGTCAATTATTATTAAGGTTCTTCAATATGTATTTTTATAGAAACAAATAAATGAGAAAATAAAAAGATTTACAAAATATAAATAAAAAATAAATTAGAGAACAGGTTGGTTGGTTGGTTGGTTTGGGTTTTTTGGCACATTTAGACTAAGCTGTGCCATGTCAAACGGTAAAAGTTTTTAACAAATAAAATAAAATAAATTCACAAAACGACAACACACATATAAACAGTACAACAAATGAAAAAATAACAGGGTATATAAAAATAAAAACTAAATAAATAATTAAATATGTTTATAAATATTTGTGACTTTCAGAAAGTTCAATAACTTATTTATATTTGGCCTCTAGCCCAGAATCTCTGTCAAACTTGCATTTCCAAAATGCTGTCTACGAATTCTCTCGAATGCTGAGCAATTGCACAGTATGTGTTTAACACTTAAAGTACAATTGCAATACTGGCATACCGGCTGATCATCACCCTTCAAAAGATATTGATGAGTCAACCGAGTATGTCCAATTCTCAAACAAGTAAAAATGACCTCAGATCTCCTATCACACTGTTTATTGTGTGTCCAATTTTCTATCATAGATTTGCTCTCATGTAGTTTATTGTGGACTTATGCATTCTAAATGTTTTGTCATCTCTCTGCTAGTCGTTTTTTAATGACCAGCTTCAAGTCACTTCCCTCAATAGGCATTGCATCCTGTGGAAGACTTGCTGACTTTGCAGCTGTGTCAGCAAAAAGCCAAGGGGTAAAGATGGAAGAGATAAGTGATGTGTAATTTATTAGTTCATGTGAGCAAAGTTTGTTAAGTAAGTTTAATCAATTTTGAGATAATTTTTGTATTTCTAAAAAATAATTTTAACCTTTCCTTATTTTAATATAGAAACATGTATTTATGCAATGTTAAAATAATAATTCTTCTAAATGTGATTTATGCATATTTTGAAGTAATTGGATATGAAAAATCTAAGTTTTTAATGTTTTATTGTCATGTTTTTAAATTATTGTAATTTATTAAAAGTTTTGTTATGTACATTTTTAGAAAATTGTTGTAGTAAAACTGTTGAAGAGGGTCCTATTTGCCCAAAACACATATATTATGTATAAAGGAAATGCTACAGGTGAAAAAATAAAGATTTTTCATTTTTCTGATTAAGAACTACTGCTTTTGAAAATAGCTAATACACCAGTGTAATAGTCCTAATAATCCAATAAGGCCAAGTTGACAATTTTTAGAAGTACGGTTTAAGGACATTAAGGCAATTAAATTAACATAAATCTTTTAACAAATCAGCAGCCAAAATTCTGATGAATAGGAAGATGCAACATGTGGAAAAGAGAAAATAGAAAAAATTAAAACTGAAATATGGTATTTAAGAATGTGCATCTATTGTTCAATTTATTCAATTGCTTAAAAAATTCCAAGATTTATCATTTTAAAACAAAAATTCCCTTAATTCATCCACACTTAATTTATCTTAACTAGTTAATCTTTACACAAGTAATCTTTATGATGAAATAGCATATTTTATCACAATTATTCATCATCATAAAAGTAGATCTATTACTGTAAAAAAAAAATGCAATTTCTGCTTTAAAAACTATAAAATTTGATTTTAAAAATTCTATTTTAATGTCAATTTTAAAATAACTATAGCACAAATAATAATAATTTATGAAATAAACAATTAAGTTTATTTTTTCTAAAGTAAAAAATCCTGTAAACACAATGAAAAGTTCTTTTATAAAAAAATTTTCCTCAAATATTGTTTATTTCAAATGTTAAAGCACTTAACCTTAAACCTTTTTTTAGAGAATTTTCTGTATTAACTTTTAAAATAACAGCATTTATATTATATTAAATTTCAAATATAATAATTTCTAAAAAAAATTTTTATACATACATACATACCTAGAGAAAAGAAAAAATTGATTAATAAATAATAATGTATAAATTATTTATTAATCTTTACAGTAAGAAACATACCAAATACATTCAAGTAAAATTTGCACAATCATTTTTGTGATCTATGCACAAGCATTAACTCTATGTAAATTTTAGTGTAGTTTTATTTTTATTGGTATTACTTTAAATAAAATTTCATTAGTGAAAATAAAATAATTTAAAATAAAAGAAAATATAGATGTTCTTGTGCAAGCTCCTTAACCTACAAAATTTGAGTTATAAATTTTTTCAGATGTAAGCGTAAATTCAAAGAATTTGACTTTTTAAAATCAATTTTATAAAATTCTGTTTCTGAGCCAATGATTTATTTAATATTATATATATTTGATATTAAAAAAACCCTCAACAAATTTTACATNATCTAAAAATAAAATTAAATACTTGAAATAATGGGATGGTTACCATCTTGTTCAAGAACATTTAAAATTTCCATGGATCGAAGTTTTTTGGCATGCTTAGCACCTTTAAGATGCATGTCTAATGGAATCTGAGAACTAAATTCCAAATTACATAAGTCACAGTGCAAAGTTACCTGCATAAAACAACATACTTTATAATTCTTATATAAATTTTTAGTTTTAAATATAATAATAATTCTATTCTAAGGATTATTGAGAAACTATTTCTCTGATTAAGAAAAATTATAAATAAGACTGTTGTAAACTGTAATATATAAATGTTTAAATATTTTAAAATGTGTGCTTACCAAATTAGCTCAATTTTCACTTAATATGTAATGATATATCAATCACATTAAACAAGAAAGCAAATAATGCAGATAACAAGCAAGTTGTTTTTTAATATTATAAAAAATATGATTGACATTCAGAAAAAGATCTTATAAAAATTTTATGTACAGAAAAATAAATAATCATATTATTTAACAAATAGAGAAATAACTAAATTACTATCAAACAATTTCAGGAATTTTCATTAAAAATGTTTATATAATTGCAAAAGTCAATTCACTATTTATGTAATTTGGATGAAAATGGCTGAAATTATAATATAATTTTACTTGAGAATTATTGACAAAAGAATTATATCTCTAAGACAAATAACAATTTCACACTAATATTACTAATGCTAACCAAACCTCTATTAAATTAATTAAAAAAATAAAAATATACAGTGTTATTCAACATGAAGATAAAATGTGGATAATGCAAAATTTCAATTTATAATTTTCACTCTCTAATTCTGTAACAAGCATACTACTTTTTTCACTGTAATCTCTATTTTATTAGTAAATACATAAAATTAACTTGATAACATTTTTGTTTTAAAGATTATTATTATTATTATTCTAAATGAAAATGTGAATTTATTCATTATATGACTAATAAAAGAAACACTGTCTTTCAACATTATGTATTTTAATAACTTCATAAAAGTAGTCATGCGAGAACTTTTGAACTATCAGTGTCATCTTCAGGCAAAGAACATATATGGAATGTAGATGTAAAAAATTTTTTAAATGTATTGAAATATTCTAAAAAAAGAACAAACATTTGAATAATCAAATACAGTGGTACCTCAGGTTACGAACGCCCCAGCATACGAAATTTTCAGGATACGACATGAAATTCGAACATATTTTTGCTCCACGATACGAACAAAAACTCACCATACGACGTTACATTAGTTCGCATTTTTCATTTGTTTTTCTTACTACAGTTATTTTTTT